ATTCCTTCAAGTAAAGCTGGGAATACTGTTAGACACTCAACTGCAAATATGGCCTAATCTCTACGTGAACATGAGTCATTTCATTCGTGTCCCTCTCGTTCAGTCTTATTCTGCTACATGCACTCTAATCATTGTGGTTAAAAGGGATTCGTGCTGAAAAGACTTTCCTTTCGTGTGAGGATGTACCTGACTAGAAGAAAAGGATGGATTTCCCTTGGTCCGTTATTATTAGTTTTTGGGCGAAGTTTAATCTGACGTAGTCTTCGGTTCGGGGAAATGCGGACAGAGCTACCGTCATTCACCTCATTTGGCAAACAAAATCTGTGCTGGACTTCATTATCATAACCAACTCAGGCTTACTCCGAGTCTGGAAAACTTACCCGGTCATCCATATTTTTTAGAATTACTAAAGTAATGTGTATGCTTAGCGACGTAACATGAATGATTTCCAGTACTGAGGATGACCAAAAAGAGTCAATTATTTTTCCATTTTTTTCTTATTTGAGGTAACTTCCATTTTAAGCGAAAGTGTGTGATAAAGAAATTCGAACTTTGCTCTCACTGAGAGACGACGGCTGATTCTTCTTGGAATTTCTTGCTGGCGCTGTCCCTGAGACAATCTCCTCTCATTCCAGTGAAGATGTGCTATGCTGTCATCTTTAATATTACTGAACTCGACCTTCAAACCTTCTGCTCACTCACTTTAAATCAAAATGGAAATAAGCCCAACATGCGTAAAACAAGAAATTCATCGAAACCAAACTTTTCTCTACATTTCTAATACTCCTCAGACATTCTACCAAACCTTACTAACCTAAAAGATCATTCACCTGTAGTATATTTGGTCATAGGATGGGCGAAGGCTTGGTACGCTGCAATCGAACCAATAACTGATAGCTAGAGGAATCCGCCATCGTCTTTTCATGGAATCGATCGTCGAATGCCTTAATCACACACTTTCCATCGAAATAGAAGTGAGTTCGACAATCAGAAAACCAAAAGATTCTTTAAACCCAACTTTTCTATGCACTTAATTTTCCTCTGGCATACAGTCTGCATCCTCCTTTTACTCCAACGACATGCGCCCCACGTTGATCGCCATCTGCTACATTCTGCTGCTTTTCTTCCGATTCGCTGCAGGCCTGGCCCAAGGTGGCAAAGTAACCGCCACTATGGTCCTACTCTTCGAGCTCACTACTGCCAGATGGAGGTCTGTCGTCAACAGTGTATGGACTATCGGCGCATGTGTATTTGGTCGCGGCATGGCTAGTCTGATGGCAAGCTACATCTTTTCGGCACCATCGGAAACTAGGCATGAGATAACCATACAACTCATTTTAATTATTGACGCATCTGCTTAGACAAATTTACTACTTTCATAATTAGGCATTTATAGGGAAGCTGATCCACCGGAATTGTAAAAATATCGAAAATAATGCTTTATTTATTTACACAAATTAAAGTAATAAACGTGATATTTTAGGAATGAAGATGAGATATAGTCATAAATATACAGAAACTGAAATGTTAACATATTAACTAAGAAAGCTACTAAACTGAAAGAACACATTAAATGAAAGGAAAATGACGCAATACTAAGTAGAGGTGGTCTGGCCGTGTTTTCGCAACCTGCTCATGTTGTCAGGCTGACTCGATTGGATGCATCTTGTCCGAAGTCCTCTACTGTAGAAGTTATGATAATTCCCAGCGTCGGACCGTGGACTTGATACATTCCCAGACGTTTTGCCGGCACTATAATCGGCATCTTCAGTGAGTCTTGTCATTAATATGAGATTTATTCACCCA